CTTCATAGTAGTACAAAAACAGTTGGAATAGGCGTTCAACTCTGTCTAGACATCTATTTTACAAAAACCAAAATACATATCCTAAAGCATTGTATAGCCTTCAGTGACATACACCTTTAAAAGATCAGAAAAGAACACGTACTATGAGTTCATAACCTTTTCTAAATAGGCATCTATGACTATTTGTCATGCATACCGTCGCGCTTGATGTTGAACGAGACGACGTCACAATAAACCCGGTAATTGATGTACCCACGACAAAATACAACCGTACAGCCTGGTTCTGAACTTTGATTAATGCTCAAAGTTTGCCCTTCAATTTGGCTTGCTTTGTCGCGTTTCGTATGTTCGGCATTCTCGGGATTTCCTTCAGGGAAAAGCTTCTCTCACTTTTCTTAACGCACTCTACATAGTCATCTCAAAATAAACACGAATTCCCCCCAATAATGGATGAAGTTGAATATATTTGTTTACGAATATTGAGTTATCGATCAACATCAGCCTAGAAAAACCTAGTAATGGCGCCAGCGGCAGAAGCAGTCGCGATGGCACCGCGAGTCATCGTAGTGCCAGGAACCAGACGTATATTATTACAATGCATCGTATATGCATGCATGGTGACCCACAAGGTATGACGATCAGCTCCGCCTCCATCGACCAGAAATAGACGCCGAGGTGTCTACCTCTGCAGTTACGCCCATTTTCGATTTGTTGTTCCTCGCACTCTTGATCTTTCATCTGCTAAATAGAAAAATATTTAGAAATAAAGAAGTCTGACGTCATGCGGTGCTCGGTCACGGGATACAAGTACATGCCTAAATCATTTAGGAATGTGCCGTCTTTGCTTAATAATATATATGCAGGTTTTCTTAGCAATGGTTCTAACAGGTTTTGAGGGCTAGGCCTAACAAGAAGGTACTGTGATAAAAAAAAATCGGCATTTCTTCACTAAATATTTTTCATTGCAAACAATACAAATAACTTTGGTACGAAACCAAATATGAACTGGGAGAATATAATAACATTTTATAGGACACTAATAGATGATGTTTCATGTTCCGAAAGCAAAACTCCGACTGTTTCTCTAGTTCGAGATTTCCAAGGCCCAAATTGGCTTTCTTTTAGCATTAACAGTACGGGTGAACTTCTGTCCGGTATGTCAGATCGCCCGTCAAAATGCGTGCAAATTTATTCCAAACATGTTCTGTACATTGTAACTATAAAATTGAAGTTCTAAGCAGAATCTGCTACATAATGCATGTGTATACTATTGAATTGTGCGTTAAACTTGTTTCATTTAGCTTCTACATTGTAGTACATAGTATTATACATAATATTTAGCTATTATGAGGCCGTCTCCAGGGTCAACTACCTGTATACCAGGCAATCATTGCAGTGAAATCGGTGGAGTATACGAAACGACTTTCTCTTTAACCGTTGGCGCACTAGCCACCATATTAAACTGAACATCTTTAATAACTAACAGTTGTTCCTGGTTTTGCTCTTTCCGTCACAAATATGTTTCCAAAAATATAAAGCCCCGAATTTGAATGCATCCAGCACAGAACGTGCATAAAATCGTTCATTTTAACACAAGGCGAAAAAATAGGCGACAATCAGAGTGGCTTCTTCTTTATACGTTTTGCCGAACTGCATTGTCGTGAAGTATTAGCGATTCTATGAACTACATAGAAACACTGGTGGTGATCTTGAAGAAAGGTCCGTAGAGCCTATTTAAAAGACGAATGGATCCTTGAATAGGTAAACGTTATATCTGACGTTCAAGGGTGACAAAGATCGAGGACGCAAAAGCAAAAAAGAAAAGGCAGCGCTCAAGGCCATTTCGGGGACCAGATGCCTCGCAATCGTCACCATGACGTTGGCCTTTGGGTTTTGATAATTAAAAGGACGGTATATTCTTCTTCCGTCTTTTTCATATCGTTAATTTTCCTGCAGGACGGTCTTCTTCTCCCTCCAATCTTCAGTCGCTCTTGGCCCTAGGGATCTACCTATACTGTGGCCTGGTGGCACGGCAGCATTACAGTCTTCAAGCTACCAGTATTTAGTTTGTCTCGTGCAAACCGAGCGCAGAAGACGCAGATTTCCCTTAGCAGAGTCTGGTCTCTAGATCCGGATATTTCAGTTTATAGTAGCCTATCTTTCCTTATCAATATTTTCAGTTACCTATCGTAGAACTTCTGGTAGTTGTAGTAGCTATGTCAATATTACGAAGTAGATGGAAGGCAAGGAAGAAATTAATTGACAAAAGAAAACGAAGATGCGAACGTATTTGTCTGAGTTTCGAACTTAAGTAGAAGCCGAAATGATACCAGAGAAGTTAGCGGAAAGCTGACCGCTGTAAAAACACTATACCGACTTCGGTTAGAAAGGAAAAAATTTCTGCAGTGGAAACAAATTGTAGAGCCAGTCTCCGAGGCTAGTGGGAAGTACTCGTCATCTTACCATTCTTAATCTGCTATGTAGCATTATGAGTTGAACAATCGGAAGGAATATACGACCTGCGCTTGGGCAAATACCATTGGGGCTAACGAAGCTCACGAACATCCATATACACATGATGAGGCAAAAATTGCCTGACTATTTCAGAGGCTTCATTATACACATCTGTTTTTACTTTTATGTTTACTACAACAGACTCTTGAACCATCAAGTGGCCTTTTTCCAACTGTTTAGAGATTTGGCCTTTTTCTGCCTATGTATGTACAATATACGAACGGACGCACTTCGGATACGTAGTGAAACATTCAAAAAGCTGCCAGCACTGAGAGCCGGAACTATGTCCGTGAATGCACGGCTCTAGGAGAAAGGTTATCGGACCGCGCGGGTAGTAAGCAAAACAATGAAGACAAGGAATTTGGTGTGAGAATGAACTAAACGAATTAGTGCAAGCCATCATTAGTCCCTTCGGTACTAGTGATCGGCCATTCACCGCGACGCATTACCCAATTGGTTGAAACATCAAAGGTCCGCTACTCTCATTGCGTTCTGGGCATTGGTTCCGAATTTTATATGTGTGATGGGTAGAAAGAGGCTCTGAGGAGGATGTGGAGGCTAAATCGTTATATAAGTTGACTCGTCTCCCCTTCGCTTACGCATAACATAATGTATTACAGTAACTTATATCTCAGATTAAATTATTATATAAAAGCATGCAGCACTGAATAGAACTGTGGTGAGCCAAATGTGATTAATAAAGCCATTCGTTACGAGTGCTAGGTCTCCGCGAACTTATATATCGCAGTTTTTAACTTCCTGTTTTTACAGAGTAGATCACAGTCGAACAAATCCATTTATCTGCTGATCAGTGACAGACTAATATGCGCAAGGATGCCGAAGTTAATACTCCGATAGAAAGTGACTTGAATCAGTCGAAAGAAAAAAGACGCGAGACGAAAAATACTCTTCAAAAATATATCCGCCTGTGACAGACGCGATGTAAGTTGGGTCCAGGATCCTTACGATGCCAGCGGATTTCCTGAACGAGGAATGCCAGAAGTTGAAATTAATCTACAACATGATAGCGATAAGAGAACGAAAATTTATATCCGATATCACATTCTGCGTTTATCGGAGAGAGGAAAAATCTGAAACAGCTCTTGAAAAACACACAACAATTACTCGGTCAAAATGAGCGATGCGTGGCTTCAAGTTGGCAGTCAAAACATCGCTATTACAAAAGCAGACGTATCCTTTACAATCATCTTCTAGGATTGCAGGGTAGAAGGGAGGTTCTTTGAAAAAACTAGGGCGGGAGATAAAAGGGTAGAGACTACAACTTTTAATGTCTGTCCAGACGCAGAACTACTGCGACCGAGCAAACACATCGCAACAAACGATTCAAACTATATTAATGCAATTTTACTCACAGATACACCTGTGTGAGCCCATAAATGAATGGTGTGAACTTGTACACTTTGCCATAAGCCCGTGTGTCTATGTATACAGAGTGAGGCAAAAAGCTTTTGATAGTTTGAAGGAAAGTAACCTGATATATGGACTTTGCATTTGCTAAAATGGTGAAGGGTACGCGAACTGTTGCAATGAAGTTACTCCTTTAATGAAATCCAGCTTAACAATAATGCTTAAGCGTAAATACGATCATAAGAAGGGACTGATGTGTTTGTTATACGACAACAAACCTAACAACGCTGGCAACGGCAACGATTTAGGTTTATTTGTTAATGTATGTACATAAGCCATGCCTACCCAGACCTTCGAAGGCGATGACTGGCGCTTTCGGCATTCTCGCCACACGACGGGACTGCAGCCCAATTGGCTCACTTTTCCCTTTGACGTTTGGACAATCCATCGGCTGGTCGCTGCAATGGCCTTTACGTTTCGGTTCTTCTGCGCGCATATACGCTTCAGTAACAGAACGACAGATAGAAACAGGATCTGCTTATTAACAGCTCACCAGGCTGATTCAGCCTGCTTAAGTGCTGCATGCCGACATTGGGCCTAAAAAAATCTTTTACTTATCTCAAAATACAGAAGTCTGAAAAGACATTAATGGACCGCATAGCGGAGCCATGACGCTCGCAGTCGTCGCAAACGAGTGCAGTGCAGCCGGATCAAGGGGTCCTGCCGGCAGACGCTGGCTCCATTGAGAATTGGCCGTAGGCGTCCATCCGGGAACGTATCAGATAACTGTATAAGCTAGAGCGCTGTAGGCGTTTTCCACAGCAATAGTAAATATTTCTATCGCATGTAGTACCATCTGTTGCTGCCTACTTTTGTTATTTTATTCGCACATTGAAATGCAGGAACAGCCGAAGAGGTGAGCCGTATCGAGGGAAGCTGTGCACACAGATCAAGCGAACGAATATTTTTAGGATAACCAAAACCACTAAAAATTGACGTAGATCACATTCAAAGCTCTGGATTCCATAAGAAGTAAACAACTGCCCACATATAGAAGCAACCAAAGAATCGGAAGTTTCACTTCCTTATATATTTATTAAGATTATCGCTCTCGCACATGCTTTGCACAGTATGGCTAATGACGCAAGAAAAATTTCGGTAGAATTTGGGTTCTAGGCCTATAGGAACAGTTCTGAAGTGACCGATAGTCCCTTTGCGAGCACAACAGCTCAAAATCTTGGACTGAAATGAACATCAGAGACAGCAAAGTTCAGTTATTTCCGCCCACCCGATGTGTGATGTTCTGAGGATAGCTGAGCTTCAAAAAAAAAGCGCAATACCCACTCTACTTCTGTTCTGGACGCAAACGTCCTCTAGTTTAGTTGCTTCTCTGACCTGTTTTGCGTTCACAGATCGTCTGTTGGCGCAAACGAATCGCAGAACACCTCCCTCCAAGTCGAATAAGATGAAGACGCTCAAGCGAATTTTAGAAGTAGAAAAAAGCTCGAGGAAAGTGCTCGCACGATGCGGCGACTTCCTGCGGGCAATAGGTTCCTTTACTTTCTTTGTCTACAGTAAACAATGAAAATTAGCCAGAGCGATAAGGATTATGCTGTTGATGCGGGGCTCGAAACAGAAATCAAGCCCACTACTCGTCTTGTCGCTCGCACTGCCGGTCGTAGCCCAGCTCCCGGGCTTCAACTTGAGCCTTTGGAAAATAGTAATTGCCAGACGATGCAATCTTCGATCTGTTTCAGGCTGATAATACCGCTGCACAGCTGCTGGGACCCGCAGATAGTGGGTGTATGTGAATCAGTACTGCCAGTTGGTTATCCACACACTTGTAAACAGAGGAAAATCTATGGGAACAATCTGTACTAGCAAATTATTAGGCGATGCACTACGAGGTGTCTCGGTTAGCGGGGCATGTAGGCAATTAAAAACAAAGTCTTGCTTTATTTGCGAGAAATTCATTCATTAACATTTTTAATTCATATATTTTAAAACACCGTGAAATTATCTACATTTTTCGTGTTGAAAGATGCATAACTTCGCCAATTACCTGTATTTCATCTCACAAGTCGCCATACTATAGCTGGTCAAGTTTAACAGTCGCCACAAACGGTCGTCATTTCTGCACAGTCACTTCATTTAGTTTATTGAAAGCCGGCCCCCTTACTTGCCACGGCAAGTACTTTCCTCCTGCAAGTACGTACGAAATGAATTCGTACACTATCCACATACGTCACCAACTAGTTTTTCTCAATGGCTTTAGTTATGACACGCTCACCAGTATATGAACAATAATAATGGCGTTCCTAACACGACCGTCCCAATTACTTACCTCGCATGTACAGGTTTCGTTGATGTTTCGCCTGGCAACTGTTTCGTACTTCGTTAAAAAGTTAATTATTCGCGCGATCTGCAACAGAAGCGGGCCTAAGCGAAGCCTGAACGGGTTTGTTGCGGCTGGAATAGTTGTGTTTAATCCGCCAGTATCACCATAGGTACGGCTATGCCCGGTGCTACTACTTCAGCTACCTTGTGGTGCTTCAAAGGTAAACGTCTAGAAGAATTTGCGTTTCGGAGCTTGGCACAAGGCACAGTTTGGCCTTCCTGCCTTTTGTTGATTCATGGCCGGCGTGGTATTCAGCAGCGGCAGCCATACGCGAGCAAACGATTTTCATCAGCAACAGTCACAACAATGGCTTAAAAGCAACAAGCCGACCAGAAAACCCACATGATCCTTAGAAAACCCACGCAGAAAGGTATGCGTCGGAAGCGGTAGCGAACCGCTTTCAGATCGCTGACTCTGACATACACATGGCGCTGTCTCTGGCAGAGCAAGGACCGTTCAGTTGCCCTACCGTCCAAGCCAGTGACTGGATGTCAGTCGCGCAGAATTAGTCCTACTCAGCCGGATACAGCTATCCTGGTACCACCAAGAAATATGTGGCGGCAATGACATATGATGTACGGCACATGCGGACGTAAACCATCTCAGCTACTGAGGTCACGCTGCTGTTGTTCCCGCTACAGCTGTGAGCTGATCAGGTAGCACTGCCGCTTGTAACAGCGAATGCCGTTGCCCGCGGTCGTGATAGGTGGAAGGTGAGCATTAGTCAGCGAACTCAGCTCCGCTGGCAAGTAATAGTGAAGCAGCAATAAGTACAGGACGAGTAAGAGTAAAAGCTTTGTAGTCTGTAAGGCTCTCCTTAGTAGTACGAGTATCCTGGAACAGCCAAGACATGCGCGCAAAGTAGAAACGGGGCAGACGTAGATTTGTTTATGCCATTGCCCCTTGGTCGCACTGATCCGACGAGATCCAGGAACGCGTTAGATGATATCCCGCGCTTCCCAGCTGCGTTGGCCAGTGCTCGTTTGGTATTATACATCGCCTGTGCACCGTGCAGCGTCTCGTCGGGGGAGCAGGTTTGGCAATTCGTATTAATCTCGTTACAATTCGAGGCGTGGCTATGTCTCTTGTTGCTACTTTTACGATGATGTTTTTATGATGCTGGCGTAGAGTAACGACTGCAGAAGAATGTATAGTCACCACTGAACTGTAGATAAAAGTTTGCCTGTAGACACGAGGTGAAGCGCCTGAAGTTTCTGCAGCCAAAACGGATGGAGAACTGCTTGGAGACACAGACACCATTATGTGGCCTAGCTTAAACGCTATTTTCAGTCATCACTAATCGCTCTATATATTTACGCCCATTGCTACAAAAAAGCCTGTATCGGTGAACGATTCTTTGTAGAGAATACCTATTAACTTCCAATAATTAAATATTAGAGAGAAATTACTTATTACTATAGTGGGATATAAATTTACGTTTGGTGCGACAATACTCATTGTTATTATTGCTACTGCTTCGTTTCAGTAGTTTCTTGCCAAGCAACTCTTCGCTAACTTGCGTTCACTTACAACGTCAACTTCCGCTTTCCAACTGGTAATTTCCGCAACTTTCTGGCAGCCCAGAGTCAGCGGCGATTAGTATGCAGGTTGCTTATAAATGCGTAAACCTATAAACTTATTTTTTTGTTGATGTAGCCAAACAGATAATCCCTTTCTCCGTGTGTGCGCGTGCGAGAAAAACGAACACGCGTCGTAGTGCCTGACGCATCTTTTCGCTTCGAAAATGTAGCCGGAAGCACTTTTGCATTTACTTGCCACGCCTCGTCTAGGCACCCTGCCAGCGGCCAACTGCCACAAGTGAAGTTGCTATCGCAACGACAAAAACGATGTACGTTTTGCCTCGTCCTTGGTCCTGTGCGGGCCTCGGATGAGCTGCTACAGAAGAAGTTAGCCGAGGCGTAATGCGTGTTGTTTTATCTCCGGCTTTCTGGCAGGGGTGCAAACAAATCTGGTAACATTAGTGCCAATACTCAACACATACAGCTTTAGGGAAAACTGCAACCATAACAGCGTAAGTAGCCCGGGTTGTTCTGACCTGGATTTGTTGTAGAAAAGTTGTCACGAAATCAGATAGGCGTTAACGAAGTATAAGTATTTAGCCTACTGTCTGAGATTACGCAGGCCTTTACCTTCCAGTGCGAGTTCGAGTTGCTCAGGAAAGGAAGTGTAAAAAGGTAGGATTTGCTTTGTCTAGGTTTTGTGGCTGAATGTGGCTACAGGTCCCCTGAGACACATCGGGCGGCAAAGAGTTAACAAGAAAAAAACAAGATAAAGATGCCTTATTCGAGTGTGTTTCGAAACTTTCTGGGGTGTTTGTTAGGCCACTTATTGGCCACATGGGCTAAACTGCGGGGTGATTCTTTAACAGGCACCCCAGCCGAGGGATAAGTATGCAGAATATAGCGGCAACAACGTTCTAGGTACAAACATGATCAAATATTATGTTGGGTATATCTGTAGTATAGTGTTCCAGCTGTCTGGATCCCTGACGCCGAAACGGCGTTGCGGTTGGAATGTAAAAGGTGCAGTAGTCAGAGTAAAAGCAACTGCTTCGAAGGCAATAGTCTGTGCAGCTGACGATAAACAAACCTGTTCGATTTAGTATCATGTAGGCCACGTTGACAGTATACATATAAATATTTTGTGTAGACGCGGATCTTCTACACAACTTTATTATATTGTCGTCAACTCTGGTCTAAGATACTGTAATGAAATTAATGTCATCATTACTATATGGTATAATATCTACCACCAAACGATGGTGGGTCGTGCTAATTTACTACAGTTTAAACCGCGCACCGCCTTTTGGATAATTGCTTCTATTTCAATACTTTACTGGGTTCGCCGCTTTTTTAGCTGAACGAACACAGACACAGGGTGATACGTATTAAAACAATACAAAGCTTTTTCTGTCATGGTACCATCTCACCTTTTATAGAGCTGGTGGGCAGAGCGGTTCAAGTCGTCGTGGTCATGGATGCCCACCCGCTGGCATGAAGCAGTCCAACAAGAGACCAAACATTTGAACTAGGGCATCTCTCGGAATTGCTCGGTTCGGACCGAAGTACCGTTAGCCACTTCACGCGTTATTCGAAATCCTAATGCCTCATCGATTGTATGCACAAACAAATCTGAAATGATCGCTAACAACCTGTGCTCTGACAACAATTCAGAACGGAAGCAAACAAGAAGCGTTTGTGCGCTAGGCCAAGGCTATTATTCAAGCGGGCCTTGATAATAACAGCGCCATATAAATATACTTCCTATTCATCCATATTGAACAAGGCCACCGTTCTCGTCTATCAACGCGGCACCAATATTGTTCTACGAGCATCACAAATAGCTCGATTGCCGCCATTGACCCTTAGCTGTTGGGGATCTTCTCCATGCTGTAAACAGGGTAAAATATTTCATCCAGTTAAGGTTGGAGTTAAGCGAAATAATCTTTAATTATGCGGTAATTGTCTGTTCTTTTTTGCTGTCCTGTACCCACACAATGCTACAGACTTGGCTAACACGAAGCCTTCAATACAATACCAAACAAGCTGAGAACACAAAAAGGCCCGCTTTTCAGAAACAAATTTGTTTTCTGATCACCAAACCGAAGCTTGAAGTGAATATAAATTGGGAAATTTCCAATTAATCTACTATTCTACTAAGTGAGACTAAACAGCTTGTCTGCGGCGCGTCCTCGCTCGTTTGCAAACCTGTTACTACAAAATAGCAACAGGCCCGAGCGTCGTCCTACACAAATACAGTGCAATCAGTTGATTGGAAAAATAACTCGATCACGGCAAGAAGGCCGATGATGAAGACAACTCGGGGAACTACGTTCATGTCCAATGCTCAACGCCCGTACGGCGTCAACAACTATCAAGCATCGTTGAGCGCCATTGCCGACAGTCAATTTCTGTTCTCGTTCACTGAGCGATACGTACGTCCGCTGTTGGTGTTTCTGTTGCAGCTGCTGGTTTAGCTACTGCCAAAATTATACGCCCGAAATAGTCTCCGATCATCGTTGTCACCGATCCCTTTCAAGCAGCACCGGTCGACGGTACGGGGATGATAACGAATAAGGCTTGGAATTGGTGTCTGTGGAAGGATGGACTGTGGACCAGGGTGGAACTGCAATAGTATCGAGACGATCGAAGTCTGCTTTGGCAACGGCAGTATGCCTTTTATTAAAAAATTATTTTTAGTAGCAGCAGGTACCTCTCAATCAATCCATCTATACAATCTATCGTGGTATAACATCAATACGGAGCGCATACAAGGGCCTTGGTAGCCAGCAGGCGTTGGACGGCGGCCAAGGACGAGATGGCTTATTTTGGCCAACGATAAGACCTATGGTAAATGCAGATTCAACAGTATTGGGATGATAACGAATATTCTCGGTTGAATTTACTGATAGTGGTGCATGCATAAACGCATATCCCTATAGTAACAGCTGAGTTAGATAAACAGGTAATAATGTTATTCGCTATGACAATGCGCGTTGCGGCTACAGATATGATGATGCCTTAATATGGAGACGTTGAATGACGAAAATATCTCCTTGAGCTTTTTTAATCGAGTTGAATAGGACAAAAGGTAAGCGTGTTGATAATCTGGGAGCCTAATTAAGATGCAGTTGTGTAATCAACAAAAGGCATACTTTATCTCATAGAGCCCAGGCATTCGATCCAGGGCTCTATGAGATAAGACGCGTTTCTTTGTGTCACATGTATTGTCACACAGGTCTATTTGAACTGTAACAACGAAGATTATTTAATCAACCGAAGACTTCAATGTTCGAGATATTTGTGGATCCTCGTCACGGTAGACTCATAATTTACTGTCTGTTGTGATCTAGATGCTTAGTCTTCAAAGTTCATTTTCAGCTATTAAAAAACTAATATCAAATACATCTGTCCATAGTTGGCACTGCCTTGGAAGCCGGAATCTTTGGAAAAGAACCGTGAAGAAGAAGTTGGAAGTTGGTGGTACCCCATTTATGTTTGCGTAGTTTCATCGGGGCCTATCAATCAATCACAGGCAGATAATAATGGAATGAGCGAAAAACGCCACGGAAAGGTGCATATCGAAAACACCCGCACCAAAAGTATATAACAGTACAGGACAGCATATCACGCCGAGTGCCGCCACGCATTCAGCGGCTGGCTTGGTCCTTTTTCGTGTCGTGTCCCTTATATTTTTCGTTGTTCTGCTAAAAGGCAGAAATGCGGAAAGCTTCTATATTTACACACGATACTATATGTACATGTGTATGCTCGATGTTCTCCAGCCCAGCCTATTTTTACTCGATTGTATTTTCGTTTTTTGATAAAGCCTCGCTTACTGATTTCACCTTCCTTTCCGCCTGACCCCCCCCCCTTTTTCATCGAAATGCGAAGCTTCTTCCTCCGCTGGGGTCTCGTGTCACCGGCGTTTAGCGGCCAGGTTCCTGACGATCGGCTCTTTTTATTCAGTCGCAGCACAGGCCCGTCACAGCAACAACAGCCTCAATATCAGCAGCTGACGATGCCGCATGAGGTAAGAGATCGACTACAATGCGCGTACGAAATAAGTTCTGAATAGACTCTTAATAATTGACGGCCGAAGACGCCACTTTGGCCGCTACGACAGCTGACAAAGAAATATAGAGAGAAAAAAAAGTGAGCGAGTGAAGGAAAAAGCAGACGACAACTAGTCGACTAACGTAACGTTAACGCGGCCGACCTGACGCTGGCACCATCAGTACGCATATTGTCTGTCGCTGGCATCTGGTGTCTTCATGCGATGCGATTTGCGTCGACCAACCTGAAACGAAGGATGGACAGCTGAAAAACAGGCACGTGAATCTTATAGGATTCGGGTCGAAGCGTACCTACGATCCGATAGGATGTGATATATAATGATAGTACAGTCGATGCTGCCGGTGTCGAAGGAAAAGTGACGAAAATTCGAGGCGCCCGTTTTCGTATCGATCCGTAATAGATATGTATTTTAGCCTGCCTGAAACTAGCTCATCGAATTCTTCTCGGAGGGGATGAAGGCAACAACGGCGTTGGCAGCGATTGTCCTTCAGGTTCATCCGCCAATTAGCATAGGAAGTAGCGGCAGTAGTCTGCGAAGAAACAGATTGGTCGAACGACGCAGTAATAACAGATCGCAAGATTCATCGAGGGGACCAGATAAACCGGGTGGAACCCTGCTAACGAACCAGTAATGGATTAAAGCTTCTCAAGTGCATCAAGCAGATGCGACTGCGAGCGATGCGTGACACAAAAAATATGTGAGCGTGTGTATATGAGCCACTATGCTGCAATGCAGGAGACTGCAACACGTAGGTAGAAATGCTTGAAACTGCCTACCACCGAATGAATAGATACGTACCAAGAGATTTTAGTATGTCAAGATACACAAAAGAAAGAAAATAACTCGAATGCCGTGGTGTTGCCTGCCGTCGTTAACGTTGTCGATACCAGCGTACCCTCACAATTGTCTCGTGGTATAGCGTAACATCCACCCCACGACAAACAACGTATGCCTTGTCTGACCTAACCTAGTTAACGCGGTTTACTAATCGCGTTCTTAAGTAGTTTCATTTTTGTACGGATTTCTCGAGCAAACAAATAATGAAGTTTGAGTAACAGCTTTGTCTCGTAAGCACATATGCCAATTTAGAATGGTGCAGACCACTGGTGTTGCTTGCTTTTCTTTCTTGCACTGTAGCAGGAATTCCTACGTTGTTCTTTCGACTGGCAGGCTAATTATTTTTTTTTAAAAAAAACTTATTATTTTCCAGTATAAAACTATTAGGTGAGACAGGCTGTCTGGTTTTTCTGAGTTGGGTCATAATAAAAGAGCAGAAGTTGTTTTGAAATAGCCAGGATGTCGGATATCCTAAATAGCCCCTCGAATGAACTCAATGAACATCATATTTTTCACAGACAGTAGAAAACCTCACATAGTCGTCTTCAGTAGGGTGCGTACAACGTAAAATTATGAAAGCGGCCTGAAGGCCAATCTCGGAATTATTGCCATTCCTTTAAACGGCTCTCTCCTGGACACAAGGTACAATCCTTGCACCAAGGCCATCCAGCAGTTGAAAACAAGACGTCGTGGAAGTCAAAAAGCTTTTTAAAACAGGGTAATGATTTCCTGAAATTCCAACGAGGGCGGGTGACAATAGCATATTCGCAACCCAGGACTAAAAATACCATACACAGTTGCATGCAACTTAATTATTGATGCAATAGCCCCAATGAGTAACTTAATTAAATTAATAGAATGGAAGCTAGCATTAACTTAGAGGATCATTCACACATTAGCTCTGTTGTAAATAGGAAAATTATAGCTTATAACGTACAGACGTATGTATTTACAAATGTGGCCGTAGCACTTCTTTTTAGATGGAATGAAACACCTACTGGTTAGATGTTATTATGTATTCTATATATTCTACTATTTACTTTTAATTGCTTACTATTTATAAAATCTAAATTTAGCTATAAAATGTCCTTTAAAGCGTAGGTGTTCGAAAAGTTTTGAGTTCAGTTGTAATACTTGCCGCTTAGCCTTTGTAATAATATTTACGAGTACGGGGTCGAATAATTTTGTTCTCTAACCCCTTTTTTTATCTTAAACTTCCCAGCAAACCCATGACCTTTTACTCGTGCCCCTACATACATACACATATACATATGCATGCTGTACGAATGTAGCTGCAGACTTTTTGTAGCTTTGTCGACGGTTGTGGGCTTTCGATGTGCCTTAGAATGAAATTGCCGGCGAAATTTCTCATATGCAGTGGCGCGGTGCCGGGAAACTGTTTCCAAATAGTCATGTCTCTCTTTACTTGGTCAGTCGTCAACCCGCAGCTGGCAGAGATGAACAGCTTGAAAATGATAGTAACAATAATGGAAAATCTGGTCATTCCTATGTTTTACATGACTTTTTACCTTCGGGGTGTACCTGGCACGTGTAGAGTGCCGTTGGTGAAAAAGTTCTGCAGTTTGGAAGACAAGTCAGTAATAAAAAAAACTCTTCTAACAGATCCACTATTTTGGCTCGTATCATCATCCCCTTTTTTAAAGTGGCCATTTGGTATGGCATATCCTACCTAAATTTTTAGACTCATTTAGGCGGCGGAAAGGAGCGCAAGCCGCTAGAACCAAAGTCAACGTTGAAGGCTGTGCTCGGGATCAACCTAACTACGGTCGATGTCACCTCGTCACTATTGTAGTAAGGCCTTAGTAAAAACTACATTCAGGCCATCGGGGCCTGTCCACGGCCGGCAAAGGTATAGTGCCCATAGAAGTAAAAGTATTCTTGCAAGACTAAATAAGATGAACTGTAAGAACGAAGTCGTCTAGCAGACGGAGACGAAAGGATGGAATATTCTTTCCCTTAATTTCCGAGATTTTATAATGGCTATGAGGATGCAGTCATCAGGTCAGCCCGGCCTTGTTGCTTCTCTTTCTCGGTCTTTCTGCACAGAATCACTCCTTTCTATGCAGCCAAGTCAAACAATCCATCTCTTAAAATGGCTTTTATCGCCCGCGAAAACGGCTTCAGAAATAGAAATCGGACAATATGGAAAGGACGTAGAGACTATGAGCTGACTAGAAAAATGGCTACGCACAATTCCATAACGATATGACTCTCAGCGTAACCTTGACAAATGACGTCTTCGACGCAGCTGAAGCCGATCGCCTTTGATGGTGCCTTATATCAGAGGCAGAGAAAGGCACGACAATATTGACAAGCCAGTCAATATTGCAGCGTGAAGTGTGTTTCATAAAGTAAAGGATAAAGGCGGTCATCGAGATAAGAAGTCTGGCAAAGGCATTCGAACAAAGTTAAATAATAATATTTTTACTATATCGACTATGAATAGGCTCTTGCTTTAGCCCTCGGTGCTCTTACAAAACACCTTGCCCCTCAATCGTCGTTGTCAATTAATTGACACTATGTGAAATTTACGCATTGTTTATGCGCATGAAACAGCCGCCGGCTTGATAGCTCCAGAGCATTCGTTTTTCTCATATAAGGCCGAAAGCCCTACGCCGAAATCTCACGAACGCCTGCGAAGACGAAAAAATTGACTTGCAACTTCGTCCGCTGGCCCCCAGTAAGCTCTGTTAAGAAAAACAATGCCACGAACACAAGTCTGCCAGCGCAAATTCATGAGCAGGGCAAATATTAGAGCGAGTAAGAGAAAGGCTTCGTGTTTACATACATGTAAGGAAGCTATGATCATTAACATGGTGCAGTGCTTTTATGAAAACCTTACGCCGCCATAACACTAGCAGGACCATAAGTTAATATCAAGGGGAGTTCAATATTATTACCATCGCTATATGTCCTGCATAAGTAATACATTTTATCACGGAACGCAAATTAGCGGGACCCTGCGTACAGAAATGGAAACGTAAAGAAAATCGAAATAGGCCAAATATTTAGATAGTGAAAACTTTATTGTGCTATAGAAAAATTAGGTCTTCTTGTGCCGCCTAATATGTTAGGGTAGCACTGGGAATAGTACGTCCTCCACTACTTTTTCTAGCTTTACTGGGCTAAGTTTTTTGCAATATTCAGTTTCATTGGCCTAACCTAATTTTTGTAACACAAGTGCTCGTAAAAAGTGATTTACGGGTATAAGCTGGCAGGTTACTTGACCAAACGGAAGAATGGGCTAACTAGGTTATTAACACAGTTCTTCAACGTGAATAGCAGACCTTTCATTCTTTAAGAAACAGTGTATGTCTGATAGAACTGACTGTAGCTATTTAATTCTGTACAGAAGAACGTATATATTCATTTCTGTTCATCTCATACACAAGAACTCTATTTGGCCCGACTTTTAGCTTTGAGGTGCGCCTAAAAAGGTTGTGTAATGAACCTAGAATGCCTACTACTAGGCATGCGATCAATACAAATGGAAGCCGTAAAAGAGCGATAATCTTATCGTTCTCATTACGTTGTGGTTTGTTCCATTGTAAATTAGTTCGGGTAACGAACGAAGTCTTTTCCCACTGGCGATCCACCATCACAGCCAACTCGCTTCTCGTTTGCGGTAGTGTACAAAAATGACGGTTGTTACCGTAAGCGTGTTCTATAATAAAAGTTATACTATTGGCGAAAAATGTAATTCTCTAAAACATGACATATATCGATCTTGTCTGCTTTGCCTATTGTTCGGTAATATAACAACGACCTAGATTAACGAGCACGTTAGCACGAGCTAGTTATTAGGGTACGTGCTCTTGCATCTTGTACGATGACCATTCGTGCAGTTTAGGCACGCTTTGTTAACGTCCATTATCTATCTACCGTAAATGTGTACGTGTCCAGATTGGGCGAACGCACGAAGGAAAGCAGACAGGCGACCGTAGTAGTTATTAACGATAGAAATGCCTGTTTCGCAGAGTTTTATTTTCCTGATGAACAATGCTATCGTTCGGACCAGCAAATACTCGAGTACAAGTTCTGACGTTGCGCCGCATTATCTCTGTAACAAGTGTACATTTGATTATAAGTGTATGTAGACTGTGGTTTGATAGAAGTTTATCAACCGCTTAACGAAGTAAATGTAAGATAATTTAATCATTACACATGCTAGCATATGATTGTTGCTCCGCGCCTACATAGTCGACTTCCTATATTAGAGAAACGGATCTCTGATAACGCATCGCGTTGATTTTTTACACCTACAGTTATCTATCTACAGCAAAACAATCAGTACTATACTGATTGTTTTGCTGTAGTCAAAATAGCTCGATATGAGCCTATTGCCCTCCAAAACTGTTACGTATAACGCCAATGTGTCTACTGTCAGTTAGATGATACAGCGGATTAAGCGCTCCGTTGCGTTTTCCTCTTAATTTCATCCCCTGTACCAACTGTCTGACAAGGGCCAGCCAAAGCTGACGGAGTCCTTTCGTGTTTCGTATTGACCCAACATCTTCGTTCGACGAGCTGTGCAGGTTACTCCTTGAAGAACCCTCTTTTCGCCGCTATATATCATCTCTGCACCCGTATATGAGGATGTCGATACTATCACTCTGTTATGCGTAGCAATGTAATGTACATATGCATTAGTATGACGCCTGCAATTGTGTGTTATATTGATACTAGTCAGAGTCATTCATCGTATGGAGATTTGGGAAGAGACCGGGCCGGGAAAATGAAATAACTCTGCAATTAATCAGCCTATGACTTTACAAGACGTATGTCTACATACGTATATAACACCTGCTGCATCACCTATACAGCATTCAATGTTGCTATGTGCAAGGTAGATTGTTTTATAGGTTCTTTTGGACCAGCAAGCGAGGTCAGTTTTCGCCAACGGTGATGTTCTGTTGTACTGGTATCGTTGGTGACGTCTTTTATCTGCCAGTAACAAAAAGAGCGCGGCCAGACTCGTTCACTTTGATGCCGGAAGCCCTTCAGCAAGCCCTAGTCTCTACGACCTGCGTGCGTCGCATGGTCCATTTCCGACCGACAGCCTATCGCTGCCTTATCCACGTACATTTATGATGATGCTTGTTGTCAGACATATGCGCACCCTCAGCAGATATCTAAGAGGCACTGCGCAAAGTTTAGCTATACAATCACTTCGATATATAGCGTCGGTGGCGAAGAAATTCTACAGAATGGAGGAAAAGATGAAGCCCAGACAAGACCATGGCGTGTCGGAAGACAATTACTAATTAAGT